TATATAAAAAAATGCGTATTCTTCATTCACAACTAACTTATCAAAAAATAGCTTTATTTTTTTTCGCTTTACCAAGGAATATAATTAAAAAGATGTTGAAAATTTTGATTAAATTTACAGATGCTAAAAATTGCATTGCACACTAAATGCGTGACAGTTTCGGACGAAGAGCCGGACATTTTGTTTTTGTCGGTGTACCGTCCGCCATCGATTGCATACAGTCATAGTTAGTCAAGTGACAGTTTGTTATTTCTGCACAAAAGAGATATTCTAAGTAAATTGGTAAGCTAAAAGTTTGAGTAACTAGACACATTATGACGATACGGTGATGTCAGTTTCGTTGTTGTAAAGAGTGAAAAATTAGAAGTTTTTTAGAATTGAGGGAAACAACACGGGTAACCAGAAAAACTAAAAAAAGACTCGTTTGATGATTGACCCTTTACTTCGTCGAGTTGATGGCGGATCACCTGTAAAGCATAATTGTGACAGTCACAGACCTAGCAAAATATTTTTAGTGTAATATTTGCACTTTAAAATCCAAATTCTTTATAATTTTAGAAATTTCTTAAAATTTTTTAAAAACTGACATCAAAACTTTCTCTTTAAATAATAACAAAAGCAATTAACCAATTGTTTATTAGAAGACAAAAAAAGAAAACGAGTTAGTTGATTCAAAATAAAATTTTCAGATTTGGCAGATCTAATTAAGAGAAACCAATTCGACCAAGTGACATCTTTCTCTGACTTAAATCAAAAAATTGTTATTACTCGTTGATTCGGTGTATCTTCTTAGAAGACTAAAGTTATTACCATGGCAGTTCTTTTTATAAAAATGGAGCCCAAAAGTTCGACGTTGTGGTCGAATCTCATCGTAGGGTAAGGCGAACGCCGACATTGCAGATTCCTGGTTTAATTTACCAAGAAACTAAAACTTTTGGGTGTCAAAATTACAATCAGCTGATTGTTTTGTATACTGCAATTAGATTCAAAATTCTGTGCTGTTTACATTATTTAATGCTGAACAAAGGAAATGTAGTTTTAATTGAAATGTTAAAGATGATTTGTCAAAAAATAGCATTTTAAGTACAGAACCTCATCTGCCGCTTCATTAACCATCATATACGATGTTGTTGGTTCAGTAGTTGACAACTTTCCTGCAACTTTTTGGTTCATTGAAGTTTCAGGATCTCGGCGAGTCGTACCAATTTCGTCGGGTTTTAACTGCAACATTAGTTAGGTTTTTGAACGTGTTTTGATATGACTAATCTTTTTAAAATATTGCTATTGTCATATGTATAATTCAGGCGAAAATAATTTTTTGTCTCATTATTTAACAGAAATTTATGCAAAAAAAGAGCAATCAAAAAACTATTTGTTTCAGCTGTATGTATGCTGAAGAAAAGAATTGTTAGGTAATTTTTATGAAATAATCTAAATTTTACCACTAAACGAGTGTCATTCTTTTGACATTTACAAAGCATACAGAAAATGGTCCCTTTCGTTAGAGAAAATTAGATAATTTTACTTATATTTTGTCTTAATCAAACTTTGGTTATTCTCAGTAAAATATAAATTTTCCGTCAGGCTACATTAAAAACAATTTGTATTTTGTTTCTGAGAGTAAAATACAGCTGGAAACAGATTGAAAGCAAATTGAAAGATTAGAATAACGCTGTGACATTAGTATAGTGATTGTTGTTGCTTGTCTAAATTTTAACACCCATAAAACAAAGACTTTTGCACAAAGAATTCTTAAAATCTTCCTGAACAGATTAGTACGTAGATGATAAAAATTAGAAGGCTTAAAACCTAATAATAAACTAGAAGTTTTCAGACTTTTTATCCAAAAGTATTTTCTTCTCAACAAGCGCTTTTGGTTAACATTTTTATAAAGCAATTCAAAAAAAAAATTGATCTTTTTCGCAAACATTTTATCAGCTCTTTGTTATTAAAATTTCAGTTTTTTTTCCAACAGTTCTCCTAATTTGAAGAGATGAATAGAATGAGTAAGCCGTTAATATAAGTTCAAAAAAAGTTCGCTTATTTTCAGTTTTGCAGATGAAAATGACTTTCTAAAATGTGTCAAACAAGCGAGTCAATTAACTATATGCTGATAACGAAAAAGTCGAATCCGTATCAAAATCTAATAATTTAGTAAGAGCAGCTAAAGAATTGATGCAATAGTAAGATACTTTGCATTCTACAATAGTCAAGCGTTCAACTGCAGTCAGTATAGCCAAGAAGTTAAGATTAATAAGTTCTAGAGAAATGCAAAATTAGAGCACATTTTTGATCATCGATCTTTCCCCTCCAACAACGTTACAACACTTTTCAGTAACAGAAAAACTCGTACTCTTTTTTTGTAGGTTCTTTCAGGAATTGGTGGAGGAAGAAGTTTTATGTCCGGCTCTACAGGGCTTGACAAAGAAGGACAAGATTCTGGTTGAGAGTCCTGTAGATCCTCAGTTCGGCAGCTGACTGTATGTCTAGAAGCAAAAGTTGATTGTTTTAAAGTTGTAGAATTGACGTGCTAAAACTAGGTAAAGTTAAATGTGTAATGAAGAAAATAAAAAATCTAGGGTAAGGAAAAGGATGTCCGTTAATTGCTCACCGTCTTGGAGTACGAGATGATGCATCTGAGTCCATATTTCGTCTAAAAGTATCGGTTGTTGACGCAGAAGAATGCTGCATTCTATGTTCGTTACGACAAAGACTGTCGCCGCTCGCTTGTAGTCCGCAACTAAATTATTCCATAATTGTTTTGGGGATTTATCACCGATAGAAATGATATATTTTTTAGTGTTAACAGCAGTAATATCAGTTACCCTCTTCGTTGGGCTTCGATAAATCGTGCTCGACCCTTATCAATTGCTGCCTCAAGACCATGAGGTTGTGAGTCTGATTCTTTACTGCGTGGAATATAGCTATGTGTATTTTTTTCCCCGTCATATTTCTATTTGTAAAAAAATTTTCAAAATAATTAATATTGTTCACTTTTCGTTAATACAGTATATTAATATTTATACATTTACACAACACTTTACCTTGAGTTTACAAAAAAAAATTCTTTTTGCAAAAAATTTTAGAATTAATTAGTTCACACAGTATGACAGACACATAAAAGTTAAAAATTTAAAAAAATTAGTAAAACTTTACCGAGTATGAACCAGTAATAAGTCTTCTAAGATTTTTTGCAAAAGAATGGCTTTCTTTTTTAAGGTTAAACTTTTCTCTTGGAAGTTTCACTAATCCCGGTATTGGACTAGTCTTTTCTTCAACATTTGAAGTACTTGGCTGACCTAAACAGCACTAAGTTACACTCTTTTACACTTTGTCAAAAATTGTTGACGTAAAATGTTTATACAAATGACTGCATGGTTCAGGAAACTGTATTAATTTTAAAAACCTTAAATCAAGAATGTTACAAAAACAGCACCATTATTTTCGACGTTAATAGACAGGTCAAGCCGCGATATTCTTTCGCCAGACGTAAAAGCTCCTTCATGTTCTAGCCCTTCTTTTGACGTCTAAGAACAAAACAGGTGATAAAAATGTTTTTGCAAACAACTGAGGAAGTAGCATTTTTTTTTTTAAAAATCAGTAAATTTAAGGAATCTGAAACAAGCTGTAATAAAATATACCTGGTTAAGATAGCTATTTGACTGCAGAGTTACTAGTCTGTCTAGAGATCTAGACTGCTAAAAAAGATTTTATTACTTTAAGGAAAATACCATCTGTACGAGCTTACAAGTATAAGTTCTAGACTATTAAATTACCAGTGTAGTAGATGATCGTTCTGAAGACCTTCTGGAGCTTCCAATAATTCTTTTGGCTCGATCCCAGTTTTCTTCGCGTGTCGAAGATGAACGCTTAACAGTCGGCGATTCTGTAGCTCCCCAGCGTTGTTGAGATCTTCTTAAGAATATATTATGGTTTTCGGAATTGTTCAATAATACAATTATAACAAACCGTTATTAACTGAAGTTCGCAGTAAACTAAAAAACGATGTCAGCACCAGACGAGTCATCCTCGCCTACGTTGAAACAACTATTTTACTGTGTAAAAATGCTGCTGCTAAGGAGGTGACCTTAAAAATTTTTTGTCTCTGAAACTTCGTGTCCCTCGTACACCCGTTTTTGAAGATCTAAACGACTGTTTCACATATTTTCCTTTGACCTCTTTTGTGGCTCCAGATTGTTGCCATAGTGGTGACGCGACTTCCGCCTAAAATATTTGGAATTTTTAAACTTGTCAAAAAACTTGGAAAAATCTTACACAAAAAAAAACTTTTGAGCTTTTTTAGTTTGGTAGCTTTACCCTCCTTCTTAGCCAATTAAATCAGTGAATTCTAACAGTAATAAATCGTTACACCAAGTAGGAAAGCTGAGGCAACTGAACTGAAACAGGGCTGAAATTTTAGTATTCTAATTTAATCCTTTTTGGCGGTAAATGATATAACGATTTGATTCCTCAATGATGAAATGTCCGGAACACTATGCAGTATCAAATGCTTTTTAACAGTTTAAACAGCTAAACGACGGAAGTAATTTTTTAGCGCTCTAATTTTGGTAACTGCAAAAAAACAGTAACTTAACTAAAAAAAGGATGTTAATTTAAAAGATGATTGAATAAATAAAAAATACACATTAGCTGTCTTAAACTTACTATTCTGTATATAGCTGAAGTTATTGGTAAGGAAATCAGACTGTTCAATTGTACAGAGTATCATAGATGCAGTATTAATATGTTTTTTGTAATAAAGAAATGCTAGAAAAAAGTTAACTGTTTCCACAGCTACAGTT